GGGATCTACATAAGAGTCTTCACGTCTCTGAGCAGGGAGGGGAATAGTCCCTCTCTGTCTGGCTTTGGTGCAGCCATATCTGAAATATCAATCCATTAGCCATTGCAGCTGCTCAGCCTGACGTGCTGCTCCCAAAAGTGATTCGTGCACAGGGTGATGCCTCCACTCCTGTCCTTCCTCCGGGACACTGCTTCTGGAAGGCAGCTTTAAAGTATGCTAGAGGCTGTGTGGGAGCCCTGCTGGTGGAGATTGTGCAGTAAGTTGCTGACTCAGTGCATCCCGAGCTGTCATATTCACACTCTTTCCCAGTGGAGACCCTAGATGAGCATTCAGAGGTGTGAGATATTAGTATACATTAGCTAACACCTTTGAAAAGTCTAGTGTAGACAATGCACGCTGCTTTTAATATGTATTACAATGGCTGAGTGAAAGTGTACGGGGGAGCTTTAACTCGACCAGTTTAGCACACCTAGGCTTTTCAAATGTGCGAGGCAGACCATATTAGCTAACGCATGCTAACATCATACCTTTAAATACTAGTCCATGAAGACTTTGGAGCTTGTGTTGGCTACCTCTGAGCCCCTCAGAAGCTGCTGGGGGCCCTCAGAAATGGTCTTCACCAGCAAAAGCCAGATAGACCTTGGATGAATAGATTTCATGCCTTCCTTTCTGGGCACTGCATCAGCAAAAATACTGGCAATTTGGAAGTTGTTCTGAGAAGAGCAACAAAATGAGCCAAGATCCCTGTTCTTTACAGTGTGGCATAGAGCCCTGAAATACTTTCCAATTTACTATTCGGTGTCTGATGTATCTTTCTTGCTAAAATGCTGGAAGCGGATGTAGCCCAACCAGTCATCTCATACACTGTCCATTTACTGACCTCTGTTTACCCAGGGAACAGCGACAGCCGGGCAGAAGCTTGTTTAGCTTCGCCGACACTGCCCCCTCCAGGGCTAAGGGGGGGTTTCATCTCCATGGGCCATTCAATCCATGGTCTCTCATTGTGATGAGGTGGACTTTTGTCCAGAAAGCACTAGACTGACACCCACCACTTTATTTCATATAGCTGTTTCATGTAGCATTTCACTGCCACTGTGTACCTGGTCTGGGTTTGAGCTAATGACTTGCAGGTAAAAAGCTGTACACACCATTACTGCTCCCCTGAGCCATCCAACTCACTAGAATGGAATTGCTTCTAATGTCAAGATTATTGTGAAGCACTTTCAGATCTCTTGACATGATAAGACATGAAGGAAAATGTAAATTTCTGTGTTTTGGTTTTTAAATTTACCCTAAGGTTGTCCAACCATTTGTCACAATCTAAAGAGAATGTATGTTGTTCCTCTCTTTGTTTTCTCTCTTTTGATGTATCTTTGTTTTCCTTCCCTATGGTGATGGTCATATGCTTGCAAAATGGACACTTGCAGGCGCAAAACAGCCATAGATCATAGACAGCACAGCTCTGCTGCAGCTTGGTCAGAGGGTAATGTGTGGTTAGGTGAACGGGTTACAGTTCTCTTGCTGGATGGTGAGTTTCCTTTGAGATATTTCTTTCCAGCCAGAGCTGTGTTTCTTCTCTAACCCCAGCAACTTTATCCATATCTGCACCCAAATCCTCCTAAATCCACTTTCTTACACCAGTGAGATCAGTGAGATCCATCGAGCTATCGGCCCTGTTAGTCGCAGCGGGAACAATACATAGAGTACGTGCTGCTCTTGCTGTCTCTTCTCTGACTGTTGGCCACAAAACCTCCTGGGGCACGTAACAAGTGGAAGGCTGGCAACTAAGAGTGGCAAGCAAGAAGCTTTGGAGGTCCAGAAAAGACAGAAAACCCTGAGATGGCAAGAAGCAAAAGATTCTGTTTATAGGTCAGTAAGCAGGGGAGGTAAGGGATTTGTTTAGTATGCTAAACAGGTGGGAAGGGAGGAGATACGGACATGTCCCCACTAGGCAATGATTGTTACATTCTCCAAAATGACTGTATAGGGAGCACCATGACAGTACATGATGCTTCACCTAACACACAGGCAGACAGAATCCCTACCCCTAACAACTTACCCTCTAAACTCCAACAATGACACTACATGGGACAGTTGTTCAGGTGCAGACATCACTGGTGGCATCAGTATAGAAGGCTGCACAGAAGGAGTGAGTTTTGAGGAAGGATTTGGTGAGAAGAGAGAGAAGGCACATGGCACCGATAGTGGGGTCTGTTCCAAGCATTGGGAGCAGCATGAATGAGGGTCAGAAAGCAACAGCGGGAGGTCTGAAGGCACACAGGAAGTGAGAGACAGTGATAGCTGTAACTGGCAGCCAATAGGACAACGTTGGAACTTGATTAGGGGTGAGTTGACCTCTCTGGTTAGCCAAAAAAATTGTTTGTTTGCTGTCTTCAGAGTTGCTCATTGGCTGGCTAATTTTGCAGCCCTGGTAGAGCAGGCTCTGCTAGTATATCTAGCAGCGCTCCCGATCTGGAACAGATAGCGAGAGTCACAGATAAGCTCTCAGAACTTGAAAATGGACCTGAAGATGCTCCTAGTCTTTATTGCACCTCTCTTTTATTCAACTCTAAGCTTCCCTATTCAGGTGAGAGCGATTCCACACAACCCTTCTGTTTACTGTATCTGATCTCTGCTTCTTTGACTGGTGGATGAGCTATCTTTTTAATATTTCCCAGCTGTGTGTCTAGGGGAAATATATTAGCTTGTAACATTATTTTTATATCAGTCTTTGAGATTACTTCTTCCATTTGCTCTTAATTTGTTGTTGTTGAATTTTGTGAGTTAACATGCAAAAATGAAAACTTAAATATATTGGTTTTGCAGGAGCGCAATGGACATGATGATGCAAGTAAGTAGGATTTATACAAATAATTTAAATATAAAAAAATTAAATAAATTGCTAACTACTTACCAAAATAAGACTGTATAAAACAAGACTTTTATAGCCAGATCCTCAGATGGAGTAATTCATTGTAGTCCCATCGAAGTTAACAGAGTTACACCCATTTACACCAGATGAGGCTCCTGCTCTTGGTAATAAATGTGCCACTAAATTGCACTTATCTGGTTTCCAGTGAGATCTTGGCTTTCTGCTCAATTTCCCATCTATTTCATAGAGGCACAAATGAACGGTCAGAGAACAATAAAACTTTTATTGTAAAGCATTGTCCTTACAAACATTTTACTGAGTTCAATAATAAATAGCAGCAGAAGGAATGAGAAATTAAGAGATGCAGACAAAGGAGTAAAGATGTTTTCAGTGGAAATGTGAAAAGAGATGGAGTCACAAAGGCAAAGACATATAGCAGCACTCTTCAGATGGCAGGAGTGGCATAGAAGAATGCACATGGACCAGCTGTGGTGAGAACAAGGGGAGTTTTAAGAAATACGGTCAGTGCTGTATGTATAGAGTGAATGGAAGAGAAATAGAGAGATGGTGTCAACTAAAGAAAGGCTAAGGTTTTATACACAAAGAGAGCAATTTTGCACTAGATCCTGGAACAGGTGGGGAGCCAGTTGTTTGAGGATGGTGTGTGCATATGTATGTAGGTGCATGTCATTGTACAGCTCTGAAGGCAGGTAGCAGCAAACTGTACATGCTGATGACTGGAGAGTTGGGAGGTAGAGAGACCATAGAGAAATGAATTGCAAAAGTCCTGGGGAGAGGAGATGAAGGCAAAGCTTTTAGCAGAGGTAGAATGGAGGAGGTTGCAAATGGGTAATGTTGTTGTACAGTTTGTATGTATACACAGAGAGAGAGAGAGAACACTTTTCATTGGTAGATCTCAAAGTGCTTCACTATGTTTTTTTAAATGTACTCATTCTCACAGCAGCCCTGTGAGGTAGGGAAGTGCTGTTATCCCCATTTTTACAGATAGGGAAATGAACCAGAGAGAGGCTAACGGACTTGCCCAAGGTCACACAGGGAGCCTGTGGCAGAGAAGGGAATTGAACCCAGGTCTCCCAAGTCCTAGGCCCTAACCACTGGACCATGCAAAGACATAAAACAAGCAACCATATGGGCTCATCTAGGGCATTCACTTTTATTTGTTTCATCACAAGAAATAGAGGGAAGCTATTGAAAAGCTCTAGAAAAGAGCCATGGAAATAGTTAGAACTCTAAGTGGGACTTAAATGCAATAAGAAATTGCAAAGACTGTGATGATTTATCCCAAAGGAAGAAGTGTTAAAAGGGATTTGCGAGAGATATTCAGAACTATTAACTGGCTAATGAAAACTGACTACTCCCTCCTTTGTTCCCTGTTTCATAATGTGAGAACAAAGGGACGCTCTGTGAAATTAGAGGTCAGTAAATTTGGAGCCAACTGAGGGACACACTCCATTGAGTAGTCAACCATTGGAGCTCACAGCTGCAGAGGGTCCCTGATGGAAATATTATGGGGTGATTGAATTTCACAATGCACAGAGAAAGTTTTAATTTACCTCTGTTACAATTTTTATCTCTTCTGTGAAATCTGGCATTTATGGCGTCACTAAGGAAACTTTGGACTGCATCATTCTATGCCATCCCTGATACCCTAACCCCATGCAATCAGGCATGTGGCACTGGCAGGTGCATTCTGGGACTTCTACCCTAATAATTTAAGACCAAATGATGGCAGCTTGGAAATGAGAAAGAGGGTGCAAGGAATCTTTCCTTCCACTCAGCACACACATGCAGGGGGAAAGCATCATTTGGCTGCTGGCAACCCTTGAGAGTTTGTGGTCAAGCCAGCTGTACTAACAGCCCCAGAGGGGAGCAGGTCCGGGAGTGAACACCAAACGAGCACCAGTCAAGGCCTCATGCTTTTCCCAGGTGGTGCACCCACTTCCTCCCCCAAGAGGTGCACAGATATTATGATGAATGCAGCATAAAAAACAGACAGAGAAGCACATAGGATGTACCCCACTTACTATGGCTTCAGCTCAGGGGTGAAGTTACAAGCTTTGGGTAGTTTATCTTGCTAAGGTTTTAACATCCATGTTTCCTCTTGTAGATGTTACTGCTTATCCTACAAAGAGTGAAGTGACCCCCTCTAGTGACATTTTACAGTCCACTCAAGGTAAATGATGCAAAAACGTGGGCCCAGTAACTTCCAGTCCTCTCCTGGTTAATATGCCTGTCTCTTATAAATTCAGTCATGACAAAAAATATAAATCTAAGATAAAGTAATGCAAATCCAGCATCTTGTTTAATCTGACTGTAAATCACAAGCATTTTACTGTGAGTGCTGCTTTGCATTGTCTCTATCTTTGTTCGTTTCCTGGAGTGTCGTCCAGCTGGAGTGTTTCCTGACACACAATGTTAATGTGCTCTGGAGGTTAGGCTTGAGAGTGCCTGGTCATGTGCAGGCGTGCAAGGGAGCATTCACCTTCTTGGACCCGGGCATATTCTGTTCCTTGTTCTCCCCTGAAACCTGTCCTAAATCCCTCAAAGTGAGCCAGGAGGGGACAGGCCATGCATCTTGCTTTTTCACACAGGCCAGTGGAGCTGGCCACATTTCTGAGCCTTCTTGTGTTGTACTCTGAAAGCGTGGTGCAGCTGCCTTAAAAGCACAATATGCACTAGTGCTTTATTTGTAATTGATGCTTCTGGCATTTTAAAGAATTCTTGCTGGGATCCTCAAAATTGCCCAGAGAACCTTTACCCCAAGGAAAGAAATGCAGCAAGCTTGGAAGTGATTTGGAACTGCATGCTCTGTTATTGTCCTCCCCATTCTCCAGACCCCCGAGTAAGACTTCAGGAAGATTTAACACCCTTGGTTCCTTCTACAGACTACAACTCCACTGTGCAGACAGAAACTGAAGGGTTTGACTTGACTAGGATTTTACAAGCCAACCAATGTAACAATTAAAAAATGCAACAGTACAAAATAAGATCTAGTTTTCCATCTGTCTATCCCAAACTCAATAAGGCTAAGAAAAAGGGTACCCAGTAATGCCATATAAAAGCTGTGTCCTGTGTACTCTGAGTTTCAAGCCAGGACACCTAAATAGGGCTTCAAACTCTTTCATGTGGACACTCAGTTCAGCATGTAGGCACCTAACATTGGCAGTGAAATGCCAACACAGGTGCACAAATAAAAAATGTTGTCCTCTTGTTTAGATGTCCACGCTTCAAATGTATGTTTGCCATATTTAAACAAAAGATCTCTATAAAATAGATAAATTTTAGTGGAAAATCTTGACCACGCTGCCTTATTTTCTACTGGTCACATCATGTTCCTCATTTCGGCAGGGGTATGAAAGGCAGTGGAAGCATGGCAACTCCACTCTGAAGGGGAGGCAGGTACTAAAAAATGTTGGCAGAGAGGGCTGCTTCCTTTGAATGCCCCAGACCTGCTCTGCCAGAACTCCATCTATGTTAGGACTGGAGGAAGCAATCTGGCCTTTGGCCAGGAGTTCAAGATCTAAGGCCAGATTTACAAATGTATTTAGGTGCCTAAAGATGAAAATTGGTGTCTCCTGGGATTTTCAAAGGCACCTTAATGAATTAGGCACTTGACTGACTAATAGAATCTCCCATGTTTCGTGATTTTTCATATGTTTCTGAATTAGTTCAAGCCATCTCTAAAATTTACTGTCACTGAAGAATTTTTCAGGTTGCACTGAACTTTCAGGTTCGATGGATCAGAATTGATTGAAGTTTGCTACGGTTAAACTTGATTTCAGTGGTGTTACACTGGTATAAAACCGGAGTCAGAGAGGGGAGAATCAGATTCAAAGGCTCTTTGGAATTTGTTCCCTATAGAAGGAATTTTTATTGTGGCTTTTAACTATTCATTAAGTAAGAGGAGATGGGTCTATTCTGTTCTCCCTATGTTTGTGTAACATTCATTTATGTCAATCCATATGGCCTGAGTTGTGCAAACCAGATTCAGGGGAGCCAAAGATTGGGTCCTTAAAGGGTGGTGGTAAAAAAAAAAAAAAAACTTATTCATGAAATTGCATTAAAAAGTAATCACAGCTCTTGTGGGGTCACAAGACTTTGTGCTTCTGAGCAGAATAAATACATGGCTTTATGCCATGCCAGTTCATAAATTTCTTTTGGGCCTGATTCTGATTTCACACATGCTGGTGTAAATCAGGAATACATTGAATGAACTCAATGGAGTAACACCAGTGTGAAGATCAGGACCAGTATATGCTTTGGGAAGGGCAAACTGACATCCTTGCATTTCTGTGCAGAAGCTGAGCTGGCTACAGAGACAGATACACAGGAAGACGTTTTTAACCGAATTTTGAAAGCTAATGCAGGTAATAACTTTAAAGCTATATAAGTATCTTGGGTGTTTTCAGAGTCTTTTTTCTGCTGCATTTTATAGCAGTTGGCCCAAATATTTCTCTGGTCTTATGAACATGAAGTGCTCTAGACAAACTTAGAGACAAGATATATACTTCTTTGCTAAGCAGTCTTTAAATCTTCCAATCTGTCCAGTTGTGCCTAGCACATCTGGTGTTGAAGATTATATATATTTTGGAGACATCTGAACTATGGAGGCAGGTTAATAATGGCTTCAGCCGTAATTCTGGATGTCTTTGTACTTCTTGGATTTAGAAAAAGATCTTTGAATATTTAAGTCATCGTTTAATTGTCTTGAACACAAACATCTTGTGAGTAGCCATGGGTCTTCAGCCATGATAAAGCCTCAGAATTTGTGCTCATAGATGGGATATTTGGTGGCTGATCAGACCCACTCTGTCCCCATTTCAACCTCTTTTTTTTGAGTCTTCTGGATGCTTTTGGATGTATTCTGTTAGTTTCCTTCTCCCTGTGTTCTCTGCTTCTCCCCATTTTTCCCTTCCAACAGTCTTTTGAAATGACTTTACTCCAGCACAGAGAAACAGTCTCTCAGTGTCTCTCATGTATCTCTCTCTATACACTCTTCTCTCTGTCCATTCCTGAATCCTCCGTTCCAACTCCCTTTTTGCTCTCTCTTGAATTTTGATTATTGAAAGGTTGGTATTTTTAAGGTAGCATAAGCCTCTCTCTCTGTCAATTCCCATCACCCCTCCCTATCTAAACCCTACCTAACTGAGCCAGAACTTCCCATCAATGCAAACAACCCTTTCATCTTTCCATATTACATTCCTCTTTCTCTCTGCACAGATAGCACCCAGAGCTTGCGTGAAGGTGACATTGTTATGACAAAGAGCCGAAGTGCTATTGGCTGTTCAGATCGCTCATGTTTTTGGCCCCAATCCAGCGATGGTGTTGTCCGTGTTCCCTATGTCTTCTCCCCTGACTATGGTGATTTGCATTTCTATAATATTTTTGAATTAATTTTCATTGAAATTAAAATTAATTTGCATTTAATTAAATTCTAAACGCAAACTTAGACATAGGGACAGTGCAAATATTTGATGCACTAGTTCACTTATGACACACATACATAGACAAGCTATACATTACAGGGAGAAAAGAGAGCAAATTGTCCCAAGGCAATTGCACCCATCCTGCTGACTATTCTATTCTCTTGTCGACAGTGATGGCACTTCTCTGTATTGAGGCATTATTATTAAACACACTTTATAAGACATATCTATTGCATCACCCTTTGGATGCATTCATTATTTTTTGAATCACACATGTAGCAAAAGAGTTGCCCATAATAACAGACAGTACCTGGACCATCCCCAGATTAATCAACCACCACCCCCTTCATCTAAGACAAGAAACTCAGAAACCAGCCTGCTGTCCAAACCCTTCTCAGGCCAAGTCCTGAATACAGAGAAGGAACTTGTATTAGGCCATTAAAGCAGTTAGGGTGAAATTCAGCATGAGATCAACTTGCCATTTAAATCCCTCATAAGCACTATTTTGAGCATACGTTGACTTTTATGCTTCAAATAATTGTTCTTGTGTGACAAGTAATTTAAGCCTTTCTTCCCCAGATGAGGCACAAATACGGTGGATTAGTGAAGCCATGGCAGAGTTTGAAATTCTAACTTGTATCGATTTTGTGAATCGCACAACAGAATCTGACTATCTAAATATTAAGTCAGGGAAAGGGTAAGTCCCGCTGGCACCTACTCTTATTAAAAATGTTATTCTATCCGACTTTTCATGTCTTTGCTTCTTTAATCTTGAGTGGATGTAGAGAGGACAGTGAACTGGATTTATTTGAGAACCTCCATGCCATTTGAGCGTGCAAAGCACCCTGCTCAGTGTTAAGCAATGAGGAGCAACATCAGGAACTAACCGAATGCAGACTTAAACAACTCACACACCCAGGAAAAGCACCATTAAGGTAGAAACTGCATCCCCAACTCATGCTGCTGTGCCTGAGCATTGTGACACACACCTGAGCACAATACATGGCAAGCTGCATCAGGAAGTATCCATTCTAACAGAGTATGGAAGAATTAGTCCTCTAAATCAGGGGTATAGTAGGCTGTCAAGGCCAAAAATCCAGCCGAGGGGAGGACTGTCCAATATCCCTGTGATTCAAAATGCCTTCAAGTCTGCTCATTCTCTAAAGAAGCCCCAAAATAAACTTGACAGAAGTTTTAGAAAAAAATCATGTTTCTAAGGAACAGTGGATGAAATTCCCCCTGTGCAGGAGGCCAGCACACTGCACACAGAGGCCTCTGCACCACTTAAGGGCTAATGTGGAACTTAAGTGTTGCCTAGGCCTTGCACTGGCCCTCTGCACTGGGGTGAGTTTCACCCTAGTATGTGCCCCTAATATCACAATAGGCAGAAGAGAATGACCATTCACTCCTTTAATAAACTGTGATTTGAAATCCTCTGTACAGGTCCCAAGGCTGGTTGATATCAAACTTTTCCTCTTATGGTGTTTAATGTCATTCTCAGCTGCTGGTCCCACTATGGAAAGACTGGAGGTGGTCAGATTGTTTCTGTGATGAAGAAAGGCTGCATGTGGAAAGGAGTAATTCAGCATGAGCTGAACCATGCACTGGGCTTTCTACATGAACAGGGTCGAAGTGACAGAGACAGCTATGTAAAGATCATGTGGGAGTACATTAGTTCAGGTAGGTACACTTGAACTCTTCTTTAGTGCAGATACTGGATTAATTAATGTCTTATTGTTCCTAGCTGGTCCTGAATCCTGGAAAAGAGGGGGAAATTGATACATCTTCTAAGTATGATATTGTATATTACAGGTAATAAAGGCAACTTTAAGAAATCCGATAACTCCAACAACCTGGGCCTTCAATATGACTATTCCTCAGTGATGCACTATGGCACGTGAGTTGGAATGTGGGATTTCTTTTCTTGAAGGCACATAGAGCTCAAATCTCTTGTTGAAATTAGGAAACACAATTACTCTTTATAATTATCAGCTTTACATTTTTCCTGAGGAAAATATGAATGGTTGTGATTCAATTCAAACAGACCCTTTCTGCAAGATAAGTTCATTATCCTTTATCTCCCCATTAAAGTCATTTGAAAGTGAGGTAAAGGCTGTTCCATATTTACTTTCGTTACATGACATCCAGATCAAATTTATACTAAATATATTTTTGCCAGCACTGTTGCTTAATCTTGTATCTGAAAGACTCAAGGCAGCAGCTTCAGAGCAGAGCTCCTCGCTTGTCACTGCTGAGGACATTGATTACTAGGCCTAAACCACAGATAGGTGTATATATGATCTATTGGTGAGTATAGTGTGTTGTGGAAGTGAGTCCAGGCACACAAATAGGCATGGGCTAATGTTCTGTTATTAGCAGTACTACATACTACTTCTCTGCATTCCAATACCATGTGCACTAGACTATCTCACGGGTACTCATGTGGACCTCATCCCCATAGTATCTGAACACCATCAAGTTAATATGACAACAGTGCGCTCTCACACGCCCTCTATCTCTCTCTTCCCAGCCACCAAGAGGCAGACTTAGAGGGATATTTCATGGTGGGTTGGGGTGGTTGGTTTGGCTTTGGGAAATTGTTTTATTTTTAGTGAATCCCAAGAGCAATGGAAAGCTTGAATGAAGAGGTGGGTTTTACATTTAGCTCTCACTGCAGTGAGGTTAGTGGTCATTCTATTATGTGGTAGTGGGGTTTGTAGTCTTAAGACTGGCTCCTCTGAAGCTTCTCTCTTCCATGGTCATGAACCTCCATCATTTACTTGTAGTTTCGTTGTTCCCATGGAACACAGATCTCGCAGGAGATCATGATCACCGGGGGAGGTGCAGCTTCCCAGATATCTAGGACCAGTTCCATGCAAGGCTTTGAAAATCAGGACGTTGACCTTGAATTGGTCTCTGTGTTAAGCCCTCAGTAGAACTGGGGTTCTCCGGGTCCATTCTGATGGCCTTAAAGGGATACATTTCTTCAGGTGGTCTTAAAGGCCACTGTCAGCTCAAATTTGGCCTCAAATTTAGATTTTTGTAAAAATAAGCTATAAGACAAAAAGAAATGTTGTAATGATTCCCCCCATCCCCGCACGCACAGTGGAAACTATTTTCCTCCAACAAAACCTATGTATCACTTAAGCTAAAGTGTACATTAAAGTATTATTATTGGCCAAATTCATCCTGAGGGTAACTCCATGAATTTGGCCCATTATGACCAAAAGCCTTAAATATGCTTTAAGTGGTGCATAGGCCAACCTTGTACTGGTCCTCTACATAGGGATGAATGTCACTCTAACAGAATATTCAGAGAATACCATGTACTCAGTGTGCATTCCTGTTCCATATGAAATGGTTGGTCAGAGGAGTGATACAGTTGCAATGTGGCATGGGAGTAAGTTCTTGTACTAGTACTGCTGTAACGCATATAGATTACACAATTAAATACTGTAAAAAATCATTAGATTTAGAAAACATGATTCTTTCTGTTTCTGCAGAAATGCTTTCTCTAACACGCCTGGGAAAGCAACTATTATACCAATTCCTGATGCATCTGTACGTGTTGGACAGAGATATGGACTGAGTAACCTGGATGTGGCCAAAATCAACAAGCTCTATAACTGCAGTAAGTACTTCATATCCATCTTCTGTTCAGAGCCTTTTCAGAGGTCCTAGTGTAGCCCTGCAGAGAGATGCTGTACTGTATTTGGAACATCCTGAAACTTCTACACTAAATCGGTGGTTGTACACATTAAGAACACAAGGCATTCAGAGGATAAACCTGGAAACCAAAGATGAAGACTGGGACACATCTTGATTACACAATATGTGATTTGTTTCCAACTCTGTTGGACCAATTCAGCCCAGGTGTAAGTGGGTGCAGTTCCATGGAAGTGCACTGAATTTGGCCCACGTAGTCTTTCCATTGTGTGCTTCCTTTCAATCATTTGACTTCCGAGCTCAAAAACAACTATAAGAACTTCAAAGAGTCTGTTATCACACTAGTCTCTGACTGCAGACATAGGTAATTTCAGAGTTGAAAAGACCAGAAACAGCTGGGGGCCTCTCACATCTGGAACAGTTTAGTGACAACTCATCCATCCAAAACCTACACATTTTTAAACACTTAAGTTTTAATTCACTTTAAAAAAAACTTTAATATTTAAATCTTTAATTTTAACTATTTTGTACCAGAGAAGGCAAAATCCCTCCCTTGCAAAATACAAAAACAAATTCTAAGTCTCAGGGGAAAGCAGGATAAACAGAAAATTTCCTCCTGACGAGAGGATAGTCTGCTGACTTCTCCCAAGCACAAAACTGAGTAAACCCCTTTAACGTAAATACCATAGTGTCATCACATTTTTGTTTAAATATACTAATATAGCTTGATTTCCCGCATCCCCAATGGAAACCCATTCAGCCTATTTGCCACTCCCTCGGCAAAATTAAACCTTTTCACATTTTTCTTATATATGCAAAAAGAAACTTAAATTTATGGCCCTTTGCTCTGTTCTGGACTTTATCTGTAAAAAGCTAATGCTTTTCCATTGTGCTACTGTATTGCCATTTCAATATCAATATTTATGAATGATCTGAAAATTAGAATTACACATTTCTTCATTTAGTGGACTGAATTTTAACTATCACAGATGTGCAGAGACCTTGAAATTAATATTGGCAGATGACAATATGGAGAACATTTCATTCTAAACAGAGCACAACTGTACCTGACTTGAATGCAAAAGAGTCTCTAAATCTGATTCTGGTACAATCATTGTGTTTTCTGTCAGATCGCTGCAGCACCATCCTTGATAGCCCATCTGGGTCATTGAGCTCTGACAACTACGCGTCAAAATACTCAGGCAATGCTACCTGTTTCTTTTTCATCCGAATTCCATCCAAACGGGTAATTACAGGGATTTGATAGCTTTTGCATGTAATTGAATTGATGTCTGTCTGATTACGCATTTTGCTGTGCTTGCTACACTCCAGTTGCCAAATAAGGACATAATACAAATTTCAAATTAAGTTCCTTTCTTGGGTTATGCAGCTAACATAATAGATATTTTCCTTCTCTGATTTATAATATTCATATTCACATACTTAAACTACAGATGGGAAAAGACAGGAATAATTTTGATTTTGGAAAACTTCATTGGTTGGACCTTAGTTTTGCAAAACCAATGGAAGTGGCAATTCACATTCAGATTCTACTTTATCTGAACCCTAAAAGTTCAGGGCATGGGAGGAGAGGCTGGATAACTAGTTCCAGTTCGGGCTCATATCTAGTTTTGACTCAGTCTGATCTAATGGAACCTGCCTGATCGGGAATCAGGCTAGTGACTATTAAAAGGTTTGTTTCCTCTTCTCTTTCAGGTTTCTCTGCAGTTTGATGTCTTTAGTTTGCAGTCCTCCATAGACTGTAAAAGTGAATATGTTAAAATATATGATGGGGTCAGCCAGTCTTCTGAGGTTCTACTGGACAAGACTTGTGGGACAAAGAGTCCCCCAATTGTAACAGCTTCTGGTAGAACTATGCTTGTGGAGTTTGTCAGGGGTGGCACTGGTGCAGCCACTGGCTTCAAGATCTCCTACACCTCTGGTAGGTCCAAGCCCAGGAAGAAGGGCAGAGAATCAGATGCAAACAATGTAAAATAAAAAGTCTTTTAGCTTTATCATCATCCCTCATCGTGCTTTGCGGATAGAACAGCTCAGTCTCGTTACAATTCTGTAACTAATTTCAGTCGATGGGGCACAGTCACTAACACTAATGAGGTCATCAGTGTGGTTCCCAGACTCTACAGTTTGAATCATCTCTCAGATTTATGCCATTGCAAATCTCTTTTTATGACTTGAATAAAACTTGTGCCCACTGGACTATGATCATCTGAATTTTACCACAATGGATCATAGATGAACTTTAAGTAAAATTTGGATCACATTTGCCTAATACATTGCTAAGGGCAGAATTTCAAAAGCACTAGGTGTTGGCCTACCTCTGCTCCCATTGGAGTCAGTGGATAAAACTCGCTTCATAGGCTTCGGTGGGAGCACAGGACAATGGAGAGTGCTTTTGAAGATATCCCCTAAGACTGTAGCCCTCCTAATGAAAATGGTATTACATTATTTAGCCCAGCTGAGAGGATCAAAAATATGTGTTAAATAACAGCACAATAATACAATTTGTCTGATATATTATTTTATTACACAAGATAAATCATTATTATGCATAAACATGTGGCTCCTCTGTGATGGATGCAGCTCACAAGCCTACAACTCAGAGGGACCAGACAGAATCAGACAGAGGCAGATTACTTGGGAAAGAAGTCACATAATAACAGGCAATATTTCTGACCAATAATTCTTTCTGCCAGGTAAAGAACTTTAGAATTCATTCCCCAAAAAGACATTTTTCTCAGGACCACTTACCTAATCACTAAGCTTTGGATTCTGCTGTCCCTGTGTAACATCTGTTCACATTAATGGTGGTTATGGACATGTATGGAGGGGAAAGTATGCTAATTCTCCATGCCGGATTTGTGTGTCAGCTTGGGGGACTACTTATCAGCTACTGAAGAGAGATGCACAAGTGTCCTGACTGTAAAACAGAGCATGGTCAGACACTCCAGTATTCATATAGTTCACAGAAACCAGTGTTCACCCAGCAAAATAGCATTGCAAACTAAATATTCTCTCTTTTTTTAACAGTAAGGACACCACGCACCATGCGGATCAGCATATGAGACAGAAGGGAAGAGCCTATTCTGTGAAAATCTAAATTATGCTTTTCCTACTTTGCTTCCTTTTCTTGCTATGATCAAAAGGAAATTTTAATTCTGTTATGAATCAAAGTCTCCAGCTTCTGTAGCAAGTGTGCTCCCTGATTCAAGTATAAATGGGAATTCTATGTACCTCTGCCACCCGCTCTTGTCATATATCTGCCCTCGACAAGGGTATATAAAGTTATTGTCTGCACAGTTAAATTATTGTCTCTTTTTATTTAACTAACAGCATTTTAATAAAACCTTCATTTAAAAAAAATAACCCTCTCTCTTTCTTTGACTTTCTTATTTTTTGGCACCCATTGCATTTAATTTCTAGTTTGGGTTCTATAGTGTTTTAATGGACCTCTTTTCACCTCTGTGCTTCTTTATATAGACATTATCTTGTTTTTTTACGATAGAGATGATGTTTGTAAATCCAGAGTTAAGGTACTGGGGTTCATTATCTGCCTTATTTGGATCTCTCTTCCTTCAACATTTAATAGATACTAGCTATTCCTATTACCTTTTTTTATGCTCACTATAAAGTGTATAAAGCACCTCAAACTCATGATCACATCCTGCCAAACGTGTAGAAAGGAAATGTTTATGTATATAATGGCCACAGTATGTGTTCTTCCTGTCCTCTACTGTATAGAATTAGAACTGCTCTGTGGTGTTATCACAGTTTCAGGGTAAATGCACCTGTATCCACCACTCCCTGGTCCATTCCAGGAGTTCCCAGTCAGGTCTTAGGTTTTCAGTCATCACCTATCTGTGGGCAGAGACTCTTGTCCTACTCCTTTCTGACTATGGGATTTTAAGGCTGCACATCTCCCTGCCATACACTGTGATATCCCCAGCAAGCCAGTCTGTCTAATGGCCAGCGCCTGTGCGTTGCTGTCTCTCCCCGAGGGCTGTGAGCAGTGCATCACCAGCAGCTACAAGTTACCACACAGCTCTTTCTAAGCAAGCCCATTTATTCTTACACTAAAAGCATAATAAAAACAACAAACTGATTTAAAACACACACTAACCATACCAGGAGTCACCCATCAGTCATATGGGGCTCAAGTAGGTCAAAGTCTTTCCAACCCTTCTGCAAGGGTTGGGAACCCCCTTGGACACAAGGTCCTGTCCACTTGCTGGACCAAAAAGAAGACTCTTAGTTTAAATGCAGACTTTTTATACCAAAAGCCCTTTCTTTGTCTGTTGGTCTCTAGTAAATCAAGTTTGAACTTGTACATGCAAGCCATCCCAGGGGGTGGTACCTCTCTGGAGGTGTTTTCAACCTAAGGAATTCACCTTAATCACCCCCTCGCTGTTTTTGGTTCCCGAAGGAGCTGTGGTAAACCTCTCCCCTAGAATTGAATACAATCTCTGGCCCACAGGGATATACAAACTTAATACAATATCATCTCCAAAGATATTGCATGGGGTTGCAATATCTGTCACAGGTGTGTGAGAAGTCCCAATACTGCTACAGCTAGAGAAGATTCTAATATAAAAATGCAAGATATTACACTCCACAGCAATCAGCGGACAAACACAGACAAGATTTGTAGACTCCAGGTAAAATAATAGGACAAGAATGCCCCTTAACCAGAAAAATCAAGACAAGATATTGCTTGTGATGCTGCAAGCAAACTTACAATTCATTTTTAGATGAACAGCAGACCAAAAAACCCCGTACATGCACGTCCAATCTCACAAACCCTTTCCTGTTTTCACGTTATCTTGCCCCCATGGTCACCTCACAAGGACGCTGGAGAACATTTAAGATATTATGAGATTTGTGAAGCACATATTATGGAAAACGTTTAGACAGCCACAGGGCACCATAATCTTGAAAAACTGAGAGCCTGACTTTCTGCTGCTTTGCAAAGTCATTTATACCCATGAAAAGTGATTCTGATTTAGGAGCAGTCTACACCCACTTTGCACAAATGTAAATAATAAGACAAGGCCATTTCCGAATGCCAGATCAGGCCCTGAGTGTGCATACTCAAGGCCTGGCTGATCCTGACTGTAATGTTTAATACGAACTCAGTAGTTCGTCAAGAGAGACGGCCCAGAACTTGTTTATCAACTGTCCAAGCACTCAGCTCAGTCTGAGTCTGCTGAAGCCTGTGGAAACATATAGACCCAGATCATAGGGACTGGCTATGACACTTTGGGGAATCTGTAGGTACAACTTATGAATTCTGTTTGATACTGGGGGCTTGTGATAGGGTGTATACCCCACACAGGCTCTGAAAGAGTTAACTGGAATTGGAGAGCTCAATTAGGTCACCTGCTTGCACCTGGAGGGTGGGCCAGGCCCAATTTAAGATGAGTCCCAGGTGAGTGGTTACTATAGGGAGAGGAAATCTGGAACAGAAGGCAGGGTTTCAGGGAGGGGGGAAAAGATTTTTGTGGTCCTTCTTTTGGCAGTAGTGCATGGAGAAACCTGCAGGGGGGAAGAGGAAGTTGAGAGGGAGAGTTAGCCTTGGAATCCTCTCCTGGGTAGAGAACTCTGGCAAGAGATCAGGAAAGACATAGAGAATCTACCAGTGTGGCACAGACTCTAGAGGTGAGCCCTGATAAAAGAGGCAGGACCTGGAACTGCAGGGAGAAAACCCTGGGAGGTAGTCAACTGAGGAATAGAGCCCAGAGGAAATTTAAGAGGGATGAAACCTCCTGCCTGAGAAGGTCATAAGCGGTTTAAATTGGCAAGCACCTGCCCTGAAAGGAGGGTCAACCTTGAGAGGCTGTGGAGCTAGGGAAGATGGAGAGCTCATGACACTCTGGGGAAAAAAGGGTGTGTAAAAACTCTTGAGCCTGGAGTCAGAGTGAGGGACCTGACATAAGGATTTTGAATTATTTGTTGGTGGGTCACTCTCGCAGGGGAGAGCTATAATTGATGTGGCCAGAGGACTATTAGAGGGGCTATTGGTTGGAGGTGCTAGATGAGATCATGCTCTGACCTGCACAGTAGGAAAGGGTAGACCAGTGATGAGACCACTTTTTTACAAAGCTCTTTATATGTATCTACCTCAGACTGCACATGCCATTTTGAATGTGGGGTTCCCTACCTTCTCTGTTGTCCTGCTACCTCCACTGTGGAGTGGCAGTCCAAAGGCTGGTGGCAAAGGGCTATAGCAATAGAGGGTCGTTGACTGAAGTGCTCTCCCACTGAATTAGAATTGCTCCAAACAATAGGCTGCCCCCTCTCCAGAGGGACTGAAAGGTTATAAGAGGGCAAAACCTGATCATCTTAGTGTCTCTGGCTGTTTTCACCAGCTCAGGATGAGAGAAGCTGCTTCAGAAGCCTGAGCAGGTAGGGGAAGATCCTGCCTACCTGAATGCAAATAGTCCCCCAAGGACTCCCCACAGAAAAGTGAGCTAGAGGGAGGGGCAGTGTGTTCAGGATGTCTGTGTACTATGATCTGTAATCTATGTTAAGAGCCATAGAGTTAGAATTCTGTGCAAAATGTCCGTGTGCCTGATGTGTTCATCTTCTCAGATGCCCCTTGAGGAGGCAAACCAGAAGGCTCACACCTCTGGGGCAGAGCTCTAGGAGAGGATATGTCTAAGCTACTCTGGTATCTTGGCAGCAGGAGGGAGCGCTGATCCTGCAGGCCGGATGTGGGGCTCCATTGCTGTGAAGAGGTGACAGACTGAGTTGGTACCAGAGGAGCAAAAGGAGGAAACAGTGCTGTAACCAGCTGAGACCCAAAGAAGATTAAAACACCTGGCTGGATGTCCTCCAAGTAAGCTGGTGAGCCACCAGCAGGGAGAATAGGACCAACTCTCTGACACTGACATGCTGTACCCAGTACAACCCTGGGGGTGGCAGTAAGTCACCTTTCCATTATCCCAAGCCCAGGGCGACTGGGTGGCAGGGTGATCCCCAGTACCAGACAGAGCAGTCTCAGAGCTGCTGTTACATGGGGCTGCTTGTGACCCCATAACATCTCCTCTTCATGAAATGTGGCTGCTGCCTCAGTTTCCTGGCTTGATTGCTTGGTTTAGCTAGCAAGCTAAACTGGCCAACTCTACATCTTACAGTCCCAAATAATATGAAAATCTGTACAGTCTCCTCTCTGTCACAGCCCTCCCTTAGGGGTCTCTTGAGGGTACATCAATCTTTACCCTTCTCTAGGTGTAGCAGCAACACTCTGCTGGTCACTCAGAATTAAAGGGGTACATGTGCTCCAGGTTTGGGACCTTGACATAAATAAAGCTGACACTAGGCCTGACACCTCCCCTGCTTCTCTTTCTAAAGTCTACTTACTTTGTTTTGGCACTGTCCCTTAAAAACCTTCTCAGAGGTTGGCTCACTCACCAAAGAACATAATTCAAATATTATTAGGTTTTTAAAATTATAGATGACTTTCTAACACAAAAGGTGTTGACTCAACAGGAGGTATTTCTCTTTTGGACCACTGACTGATAAAGAAAAATTACAGTAATCCCTGGAGAGGTGGATGTTGGTGATGGCTTGCGGACCAGTGATCATGACCCAATTATAGTCAATATGGGCGAACAAAAGACAGATCCAACCAGCCCTACACATACACATATGTGCTGCTTCAAAAGGCCTAATTTCCCAAAGCTGAGGGAAATCATGAGTGGAGTTGAGTTAGAGAAAAAATATAGACAGAAAGATGTGAACAAAAATGGCCAAAAAGTCATGATTCCACAATCAAGGAAGAGGGCAACTTTGGCTAAAAGCCCATCCTGGTTCAGTGATAAAGTGAAGGCAGCAATTAGAAATAAAAAAGCAACACCTGACAAGTGTAATAAAGGGGAGACAGAAATTCATATAAATTAAAAGTAATTAAGTGTAGAAAATTGATAAAGAAGCTAAAAATGTCAGTGGGAAATCCATGGCTAGCAAGTTAAGGACAACAAGGAATCTTTTATGTATAAGAGAAACAAAAGAAATCCTAGCAATTGTATAGGCCTATTACAATATTACCATCTCCATCTCGTTAGTGATGAAGGAAAGGAACAAGAATGCATAAATATTTCTACTCCATATTTGGAAATAAGGATAATGTAGTTATACCACATAAGGACAATGAAATACTTTCCAGTCCATTGGTAACTAAGGAGGATGTTATTCATCATCTACTTGAGATTAAAAAAAAAAAAAATTTAAATCAGCTGATCCGGGTAACTTGATCCCAAGAGTCCTATGAGAGTTGACTGAGATACCTGACTTTGATGATAATTCTAATAAATGAA